AGTATATTACGGCCTCATGCATAAACATATATTATAATGTAATGCAATCAGATGGAAAAGTAAACATAGTAACTGAACAACCTCGTATGCATTAAGAACAAATTTTTATAGCCTACATTAATATTTATCTTATTAATTATGTAAATTTATGTATCTGTAACCACCGAAATAGGATGACCGGAGTTGACATCGGATTGTTTACAATATTATCGTCCGTAATTTTTTCTCCTCGCAACGATAAATCTTTCTTAAGTAACGGCTATCGATGCGGCATTAGAAAGACACAAGAAGTAGGAGGCTACAAATTAGAAACCGAGAGACGCATTTACATAAGACCTCCGCTGGAAGCATTTACCGGTTTTCCTATTTCAATTCGACCTCAAAGAACAAATATAATGTAGGTGTTTTAAAAATAAATATACCGCCATAACATGTGCCGTATGACACAAATCGGACCCACATGTTCGGATATGTGCCTAGATTTAGTTTGAGTGTTTTCCTATACGCGCAAGGAACATTTCGACGATACGCGGCAATTCAAGTATGAAGAAGATGCGGAACAAAGGTAAATTTGGATTTTTTTGTTTGTCGTCGATGTTGGTTGTTGAGAATGTTGTTGACCCCGTTTTCAAACTCGCGCCGTTATATTTTGCTTAATAAAATATTAGTTTTGATTGTTTTTGGAAAACAAAACAAACATTTTGACGGAAATTGCTGTTATAAAAACTATGGGTGAGGAAAGAAAAAAATAATTTCCAAAAGGTATGGTAAGTGCGGAGTAAAATTTATAAAAGTTAACTTTCTCAAAATCGCATTTGTTTATAGACTAGGCGGCATCTGTAAAAATTCAGACCATAATGGAAATTTTCCATAGGAGGCTATTTTTTTGCTGGAATCCCTTCAGGATACGCCCAGTATCGATAATCACGATATGCGCCAGTTGCAAACCCTGTGCTAAATTTTTTATTTAACAAAATCTGAAAACAATTGAAAATTTCTCATTTTTTTGCTCTTATTTTCATTTATAATTCGGAAAATATTGATCCTAGAGAAAAAATTATAAGAAGTTAAAAGTTTCGTTATTCAATTTTACACAATATTTCGTTAGCTAGAAATTGAAAGTTTAATGTTTATTGTTAAAAAAATAGCAATAATTGGAAAAAAAAGTACAAAAAAATGAAGTTAATCCTTTAAATGTTTTCGACTCTCTAAACTTGACTTACATGTTCCATATTCCGCCTAGAAAAACTTTTTAATATGTTTAAAACGTGTGCTAAATTTTGTTAAGATCGGTCAAATAGGTTTTGCATAATAATTTTGCAATCCAGCCTACTGGAAAAAAATCGCAAATTTTCAAATTCATAGTAGGCCCTAAATAAGGCCCTCAGATAGTTGCAATTTTTTTTACATATAAAGAAAGTCTCAAACTTTCAAACGCTTTTTGTAAAATTCAAATTGGTTCACTAGGAGAGCCTAAAAATTTTTAAGTTATAAACAATTTTTATGCTTATAAACAAATTAAAAATAACTTTACGAGCTTTAAACATATCAATTTCTTCTTATTTTTATTTCTCTATGCTCTGTCTAAAGATTGCGCCTACGCTCTTAAAGCATTTCACTTGTTGCTTGAGGCTTGTTATTTTCTGGGCCGTATACTCCGATGATGTTCAGATTTTCCTTCTCCGTTCTTATCTTTAATGTTTGGTTATCATCTCCACTGTAGATTCTCACCAAAATGTTAAATTCAAGTAAATTGAACTGCTCCAAATTTTCATATTACGACAAATCTTAGAAAAGCGCAATGAATTTAATGTTGAAATTCATTAATTCTTTGTAGATTTCCGCACTGCGTATGACATTATAAATCGTGACAAGCTAATTTAGGTTGAAAATCCAAAGAAATTTGACTCCTCAGACAAGGAGCAAACAAAAACTTGTACAACAGATGATGTCCTATTATAGGTCGCACGCAACAACAAATGCCAGAGACATTCTTCTGCATAGAAAGATCCGCCAACAAGACTTAACTAGAGGTCATCATCATCACTGGCTCGATAACCCTTTTTGGGTCTTGGTCTGTTCCAGGATTCTTCTCCATTCTGATCTGTTTCGTACTTTTTTTCTCCAGTTTTTTATTTTTAAGGTTGTTATATCATTTTCTTTTTGTTCTAAGTATCTCAGCTTCGGTCTTCCTCTTGTTCTTTTTCCTACTGGCATCTGTTTGAATATTTTGTTTGATATTTCGCCTTCTTCCATTCTTTCTACATGTCCTATCCAACGCAGCCGTCCTATTTTAATGAATGTTATAATGTCCGGATCCTGGTATATTTTGTATAGTTCAAAGTTGTATCTTCTTCGCCAAATTCCGTTTTCTTTTGTGCCCTTATATTGTGTCCCAAGATTTTTCTTTCGAAGGTGGCTAACAACGTTTCCTCTCTTTTAGTGAGTGTCCAGGCTTCTGAGCCGCATGTAAGTACCGATCTTATTAAGGTTTTATATATTTGGCATTTTGTTTTCCTTGCGACGTTATCTGATCTTAGTTGCCTAATTAACCCATGGTAACATTTATTGGCAATAAATATTCGCCCCTTCACTTCCTCTGCAACGTTATTATCAAACGTGACTAGGGATCCCAAGTATATAAAGTTTTTTACCCCCTTAATGTTGTATTCTCCTATTGGTATATTTTGTGGCTGCCTTATTTCTGCGTTTTTACTTACCTACATATATTTTGTTTTGGTCTGATTGATTTTAAGACCACTATTTTGTGCAGCTCGTTCTATTTGATTGTATGCCTCTATCATTTCTCTTCTTGATCTTGCGATTATGTCAACATCATTTGCAAATGCTAGTATTTTCACGCTTTTATTAATGATTGTTCCTCGAGTATTGACTGTTGCGTTCCTCAGTATTTTCTCGAGTACGATGTTGAACAAGATGCATGATAGAGCGTCTCCCTGGCGTAGTCCCTTTTTCACATCTATTGTTTCCGTTAATTCATTTTGTTTCCCGATTTTACTTTCTACTTTTGGAGATTCTTTTATCAGTTCTATTAGTTGTGTTGTTATATTAAATTCTTTCATTGCTTTTATATAGAATTCTCGGTTTATATTGTCATATGCGCTTTCAAAGTCTATGAAGGTAGATTTTGATAAAACTAAAGGTTAAAAAACCTCTAAAACTTAACTAGAGGTAGATTTTGATAAAACCAAATATGTGCTATTAAATAGGAATGAATGAAGAGAATTAATTGAACCCCAATCTGGGGTGTGGACCCAGTGATGATGATTATTCGTCGGGATATAGCCTTGAGTATAATCTGTAAACAATATTTTCATTTTTTTAAATCAATATCATTTCTTTTTGTGTCAAAACTATTTTAAATATTTTAAAATATATCGAAAACTACAAATTGGCTACTTTAACGATATATTTATTTTAAAAAGAATTACCATCTGTTGGCCCCATCTGCGCACTCAATTATTCATCGACTTTATTATTTTAGTACTTGTTGAAAATTAAGTTTATTTGATATATTCCGGTAGAATCTTTACATTTTGATCTATTTTTATCTTTACTTAAAACAACAATCTTGATGGCCCTAGTTTTTTTTTTATGAAATCCGCGTGGTAATGAAAAATTAATTAACGAGAATACGAGGCGTACACTAAAAGTTTTATATAGAGACATCTAGCGGAAGTTACTCGACTTCGTAAACAGGATTTTCGTAAATTTTGACATTTCTTATGGTAAAACTTTTTCAAAATTATCAATTTCGTGAAAAAAATGGAAATCTGTTGTAAAAATTTTCAAGTGATGATTTTAAGCACGTTTAAAGTGAGCCTAACTAAACAACAGTACGTCGATCGACTTCGATTTGGTTTTCGTGATAAATCACCAGAACCATTAACTATTCACAAATGGTTTGGAGAATTCAAGCATGGACACAGATGTCCTGGAAAACATTGATGCTTTGAGCAGCACAATTGAAGCAGATCGACATGTTAGCAATCCTGGGATTCGTGTATCATTGATCATAGGCATGAGTTAAATAAGTTTCTACGGTGGCAGCTCAAATTTGGTATTCTTCTTCTTCTTTTAGTACCGTGTCCAAGTTTTAGGCGTGGGTAGCTTCCATGACGATTTGCCGATCTCGTTCTCGATCTTGCGCGGCATGTAATAATTCATCTGCTGATAAGCCAGTCATTGACGAAGGCTTCGGAGACATTGAACCTTTCAACAACAAAACAAAATTTAAGACTATGGTTATGTACCATTTGGCAGAAAAGATTTACTAACTGTCTTATGTCGAAATGAAACTACTCAACTTTTCTGAATTATTAAAAATTAATTTTATTAAAAAAAAACTAAAATATATCAATTAGCTGGTACATAAAACTTATATTTATTTATAAACTTTTTAAATTTACCTGAGAGCAAATCTTTTTATATTAACGATAAATGTTTATTTAGAAAAATTTACGCAGAATACAGCTTATAAAAGAAAACTCATATTACAAAAATTGTCCATGGCGTATTGAGCTCAGATCACCTTCGTTTCGCCAAAACTCATGGAATTAAGCGAAACTTAATACTCTCTGAAAACTATGTTTCTCGGTTCAAACCCTGAATTGTTCTCTTCTCTCCGTTAAATCTCCCCTTAACGTATCGTGTCAAGCTCATACTTCCTCGTACCAGATTTTACTCGCAGCGATGCGGTGCTTTGAATTCGATATTGAACTTTAAAGTGAACGAGCTTCAAATTTTTATGGGAACTTATTTAAATTAAAACGTAATTAAAGGTCAGGTCAAATTCGATAATTACGCAGTTAATATTTTTTTCAGATTATTCGGCAAATACACTTGGGTAAACAACTTCAGGTCGCTATGACGTATTAGCCAGGGGCGTATCACATAATTTTTTATATATTTAAATATTCGATATTTAAACTGAAAACCTCGCAGTTCTTTTTTTTAAATGTATATACTGTTCTTTTCAGGAGAAATATCGCCCGGTCCTTCTAGCGTCCAACCACCATGGGAGCGAGCCATCACACCCAACAAAGTACCATACTATATAAATCACAGCACGGAAACTACCCACTGGGACCATCCGCAAATGTTAGATTTAGCCGCTTGTCTTCTCCAACTTAACGAAGTTCGTTTTTCCGCCTACCGTACAGCTTTGAAGCTGCGCGCCATCCAGAAGAAGCTATGTCTTGATCTCGTTAGTATAAGTGGTGCTTCGGAGGCCTTCGACTTGCATGGTTTGAGGGCTCAAAATGACAAAATACTGGACGTCGCTGATATGGTGTTGGTGTTGCGAGCGATATTCGGAAATATTATCGCTAATGAAACTGTTCAGATCGATGTACCCCTTTGTGTGGACTTAGCGTTAAATTGGTTGTTGAATGTGTATGATAGTCAACGCACAGGACAAATTAGAGTACTTAGTTTTAAGGTAAAGCAATTTTTATTACATTTTATGGTTTTATTCAATCGAATAATAATAATAAAAAAGGGAGCGCAAATTTTAGAGTGAGTAGATAAAGAAAATAAAATTTTCTCATCTATACCCATTTACCATGCTTTTGATATATAAGTAATCAATTGTAACTGTCGTTACTAAGAAACTCCATAATTTATTGTCCCTCGAGTTCATCTTCCAATTTGAAATATAAATCGCTAACTGCAGAAAGGCAACAAGTCCAGTTTTGTCAATTTTTTAGGAGAGACAAAAAACTTGGTAAACTCAAACACTACTTTTTTTGCATTTAAGGTTTATGTGATCGGGCATTCTGGACTGCTACATACTTATAAAATATTTAAATATTTTAAGAGGAGAGGGTAGAGAATTTTTTTGTGTTAAGGGCATGTTCCCTTTCTGCCGTAAACAAGAAACTTTAAGAAGTTCTAAGGAAAACAATCAATATACAAATAGAATATTTTATGAGAATTAATTTTAATGAAATAAAACAATGTCCTATATATGAAATAAAGCAATTAAATCATAAATTAAAACTTTGAAGTAAATAGTTCAAGTTTTTAATTTTCTTCTGTAAATGCCGGTGTAATTGGCCATGACAAAATCGAATTCCAAAATTTCATTTTTGTATTTACGGACAACGTGTCTTTTTTAGTTGCAATAGATGGGACAAATGGCAACACTGCTTTGCAGTGTATCCATAGGTTTTTTTATATACTTTTGTACGTTTTCCATTGTGTAATATATAATAAATCACACTGAAAGCCTTGGGTTTCGCGGTTGACGAACTAGACCTGGGTCTTTCCCTTGCAATCTGACTAATTTCCATATCAGATTGGATGTAAATGTCCTGTTCCACTTTGGTATTTTTAGACCCTCTTCCACGTCCGTTTTCCATCTAGCTCTTACGTCATCCTATTGTACTTAATATTATTATTTTCGGCATTCTGTCCTCTGACATCTTCTGGGCATATCCTAGCTTTCTCAGTCATTGTGTCTTTATCACTATTGGTATTCTGGGCTTCCCATATAACTCTTCAAACTATTTATTGTTTCAATCGTAAAATAGTTTCGAAACATAATTCAGATTTCTGCTTTATAATCTGAGCCTTCTAAAAATTGCAGGGCAAACAGACGTTGATAAAAGATGTTAAAAGAGACATGGGGAATCTAAAATTTGCATTCCACGACATGTCTTTTACAACTAAGCAGAACGTCAGACCACAGATGAGGTGGAAAGATGACATCAGGAAACAAGGAGGTCCCACATGGCACAGAACAGCTCAAGATAGGGAAAGATGGAGAGAACTGGGGAAGACCTATGTCCAACAATGGAAGGATAGAGAATAGGTTAAAAAAAAATACATCTCAAAGTAGGTTTTAGAAGCAGCTAGTGTCCCACAAGGTTTATACTTCAGCACGCGATACTTTTTATTTTAAATTTACAATCTTTATTCACAGTCTTCTTAAACAAATACGGAAGAAGTGCTGCATCTCAGTCATAGATTATAGAAGAGTTATGTTTGAGGCAGAAAGGAGAAGGAGCTTGTCTGCACTGTACGATTGTTTCTAGGTGGACTTTGGCTTCCTCGTCGTCTTGAACTCTTTTTAAGGCCTGTCTTATCAAATGTCCGCAAATTAATAAATGTAAAATCATGCGAACCGGTGGGAGTGATTTTTCTAAGATTTATTTTCGTTCTTGTTTGGTCCATAAATTTTATCTGTACCAATAATAAAGTGACACCACTTCTTCTCACTTTCTATAAATTCGCTTTTCTCACTGCATTATGTTCACTGGTGGAAAGGGTAAACTTTGTTGCCAAACTATCCACATTTAAGAGAGCCGTATTTGAACACCTAATTGCTTCAAAATATTTATTAAGGACCACTGAAGCAATAAAACAATTAAGAGGTATTTTCCTTCGATTTATTCACACAATAGACTTAAGGGCTGGTTCAAACATTGACAATTACCGTAATTCTGATAGTTACATAAAGAGTTATACAAATATTAGCTTTACAGTGAGTGCGGGGAGGCAGTAACAGATATACATGAAATGATAAAATTGAGAGAGACCAACTATATACGTTTTAACACAAAACACTGAAAACACCGGCTCACGATAGCGAATACGCGGCTTACGTACTTTTCGGGATCACACACACCCGGCTTTCACTTGCCGAGAGGCAAATTGGCACTGTCTTTTGAACAAAAGTTATATAACGAGGGGAGGACGGGTCCCTGATGTAGGAAATCAGTCGCACACACGTTAACACGATAGCTGACGACCAAAGACCATCTACTCCATAGACGGTTCACGACAATGCTTTAGTTCTATCCAAATTTTGCGCCACCTGGGGATGGATATCTGAACTATTTCTAATGGCGGGGAATTTAAACGAAATTCTAAACGGGGAATTTCAAATATTAAACCGCGAAATTTAAATTGTAAATAAAGCGGGAAATTTAAAACTTTTATACAGATTTAGTAGATGATCTCCGATTTTCATGAAATTTGGTATATTTGCGTATTTTTAGCTGCAGATCACGAACATAAATATAAAACATTTTTGGGGGAAATGGATAGTTTTTGAGTTAGTGTATTTTCGTAGTATCTTTCACTTTAATTGCGTCAAGTGCTTCTTTAAACACGCTGTGTATAACATACTTCCTTCTTTTAAGGACTGCCTTACAAAAACTTATAGATGGTTTATTTTATTTTTATATTTAATCAATTTAGAGATAGTGTATTAAAACGGCAATGTTTGTTGACGAAAGCCATGCTAATTTTTAAATGCGATGTCACAAACAACATTGTGAAGTTCAGAAGTTTTATTGAAATAAAAAAGAATAAAAGTCTTATAACCATTTTTTATAAAGTAGTATGAAGAATTAAAAGAAGAAAGTATATATATATATATATATATATATATATATATATATATATATATATATATTATATAATGTGTTGAAACAAATAATACCTGACGCCGTTAAAGTGAGAGATAGATAATAGCGCCCGAAAAAAGACTAACTCAAAAACTATATATTTCCCATAAAAAATATTCGTGATTTATAATCCAAAATATGTAAATATGCCAAATTTCATAAAAATCGGATAGGAGCCTGTCTACTAAACAGTTATCAAAACTATAATAAAAGGCACAGGGATGAAATTATCTTTTTTTAAAGGAGGAAAAATAAAGAAAAATTTTAAGACTATAGAAGATTTTTAATTAGGATAAATACAATCCAAGAACCAATCGTTTTATTAACTTACCACCAACAAGTTGATCGACAATAAAAATAATTGGTTAAATAATAGTCTCAAATATACACACTAAACAACTAATTAACACACTAAATAACTAATTAACACTAAAAATACAAACTATAAATAAGAATAATACGGATATAAGGAAGAATAAACACCAAATTAGATTAAAAAACAATATAAAATGGAGAACGTAAACAAACGTAAACTGTTAAACCGGGTAACATAAACATAAGTCATAGAACACTAACAAACATTTCGACTCTGTCATCAAACAGATACCATAGAACAATTGTTACCGTGATTGTTACTGTTCTCTGAAAATACTTCATTATCGCGACATCTATTGATGGATATCGGTAATACAATTTTATATTTGACCTTGGTCATCTGCGTGAAACGTCTATTGGTGTAAATGGTCTTTGCTGACGACCTGAGAGCACAATTTGATAAAATAACTAATATGATTACAATATTATATAGGTTGTTTTTACAACATTTATCATCGTTGAATCCGTCCTGTTCTGAGTCATAATCCCATTTCTTGTTCGTAAGGGTGCTGGTTATTATATATTTTATCAAATGTAACACTTTATTTTGATTGTAGAAACTTAACATAACGTATTACTGTTTTAGGTTGGATTAACACTTTTGTCTAAAGGACATTTAGAAGATAAATATCGGTATTTGTTCCGATTGATAGCCGATCCACAGCAAAAAGCCGACCAACGAAAACTTGGACTGTTGTTACATGATATCTTGCAAGTACCCAGGCAGCTAGGCGAAGTAGCAGCCTTTGGAGGTTCTAATATAGAACCAAGTGTCCGCAGTTGCTTGGGAGAACGAGAAGATTTGGAAGCTACACACTTTTTAACGTGGTTGAAACAGGAACCACAGGTAAGATTATTAAATTAAATTTTTTATGTACTAGACAACTAATAAGATACATTTTAGTCCTTAGTTTGGCTACCTGTTCTTCATCGTCTCGCAGCGGCAGAAAATGCCAAGCACCAAGCTAAATGCAACTCCTGCAAGCAGTATCCAATTGTCGGCCTCAGATATCGTTGTTTAAAGTGCTTCAACTTCGATATGTGTCAATCCTGTTTCTTCTCCGGCCGCTTGACGAAAGGACACAAATTGAACCATCCAATGCACGAGTACTGTGCCGCGACTACTTCAGTTGAAGACGTCAGAGACTTTACAAAGGCTCTAAAAAATAAATTTAAGAGTAAGCGGTATTTCACGAAACATCCGAGGATGGGGTACTTACCAGTAAGATCGGTTCTAGAAGGAGATGAATTGGAAAGTCCTGTAGCATCGCCACAGCATAACGATATGCATTCCAGGTAAGAGCTGAATATTATACAATTATTGTTCAAACAATGTTCTTTATTAAAAATAGTTTTTTGAAGTAAAAACTTCTAGTCAGGCCTTAGAAAATATACTCTTTTAGATGGGGAAATATGGTCATACCATGGACTTGTAAAAATGGCGCGCACCTTATTTTTCATGCTATGGCATGCTGGACAAGCCATACAGTCTGTAGTCAACACCCCGAGGTATGAGCGGGAACACAAGGTGCATTAATACTCTTACGCTTATGAAACGCACCTGGCGCATCATAAGGGCCTTGACAAATTACTCTTTTTACCTCATACTCTTCAGTGTGACAAGCCATTCATCGAGCGATTGCCGGTATAAGCAATCCTCCACTTACTAACCAATCATATTAGACAAAGAATTAAGTAATAACACACAAGGAGATGAAATTATAAAAACTACTTGTTTCTTTCAGATTAGAAATCTACGCCAGTCGTTTAGCCGAAGTAGAACTTCGAGCCGCTTCTCCGGAGGATGAGCATCGTCTCATAGCTGACTACTGTCATTCCTTGGAGGGCGCTCCCGCCAGCCCTGGTCAGTTGATGCTGGTCATCGACGAAGAACAGAGAGCCGAGCTCCAAGAGATGATTAGAGAATTAGAAGTTGAAAATCAAGCCTTACTACAGGAATACGATCAGCTTCAGCGGGGCAGTAATCCTATTCCACAACCTCAGCCGCAACATGACGTTTTAGCTGAAGCCAGGCTGTTAAGGTAACATATATACAGGTTTTTTAATTTTACTTCAACCTTGTACCATGAAACTAATGAGAGATTTTAACGCTAATGTACATTGATATATACATAATATATATTTGTGTTTTTTCAGGCAACACAAAGGTAGACTGGAAGCCCGCATGCAGATCCTTGAAGACCATAACAGGCAACTCGAAGCACAACTGCAACGTCTGCGACAGCTCCTCGACGAACCTGGCCCTACCTCAACGTTACAGACTCGTAGCGTAACAGCGTCACAATTGAACCAAGACACTCCTGGTAGAATTAATCAGCCCCCTCCTCCTGCCGACCATCGTTAATGTTTTTCCAAGTTAGGTTAGGTTAAGAAAAAATTTTGACTGATTGATTGTTGTGGCGAGATGTGATGTCCTATCCAGCACTCGCGGTTCGATTTTCGAATAGATTTTAAAATATGTTTTTTTTATTGTGTTCTCTCTTGAATAGTACAATTTTTACAAATTTGCGTAAGTGTTTGTTAAAAAATAACGTACCCAAGTTATGATTCTGCTTAAGAGAATGATACTCTATAAATCCTCCTAACAAATTTCTAATATATATTTGCTATTAATGGCTATCATAACTGTAATCAATAATAAAGTATATGGCTTTCTACAATAAAATGAAATTAAAATAGGATCCAGAACATAAGACAGAGTGAATGTAGAACTTGAATGCTCTGATAATTGTTGTATTTCTACTTTTAAAGTTGAAAACTTTTTTAGTACTTCATATCATTCAGGGCAACTTACAACCGGTTTCGTAAAGAATTAAAGATGTTTTAGGAAGAGTTGTCTTTAAACTAACGTTTCCTTTAAATTGTATGTGGTTTTATATGTTTTAAGAAACACTAAAGTTGGTGAGAACACTGTAAATGAATTATACGATTTTGGAAATTCTACCCTGAACAAGGACAAAACTATTGGCATTATGTGAAGACATTGAACTAATAATTAAAAATTTATACACTGGGGTAAGCAATCTCCATTTGTTGATGGCAGTAAATCCTTAATGAGTCAGTAATTTGAATCCTCAAATTCTAAACAGCATTTTAGGCATGCTGTCAGAGGAATAGATTTTTTCCAATAGCAGATGTGGATCACATCGCCAACTCTAATTATAGCTAATAAATTAAATCACAAATACTAAAAAAGAAGTACAAAACTATTCCTTGGTTGTGGGACCTTCATACCATATCCTCTTCTTTCATCAGTGGCGTAACTATAGGGTGACACAGGCCTGGGGTTGCGATCCCAACAGTGACCTAACATTTTTAATTAAAATATAAATTTTATATAAGTACTTTAAATCAATTAAAGTTGAACACAACTAAAGACCATATACTTATTCAAATTAATAATTAAGATTTAAACGCATTCATAAAAAGCATCAATTTTAGAATGCATGAATTGTTTGCTTCATTTCTTTGTCGAGGTACTTAGATGGCGCGGGTGATCTCGTGACTCTCGGGGAATTCCCGCATTTTGTTAACCGACAAAGTCCCTTTTTTCGTAGCGCTGGCGGTTTGGCAGCGCAGGGTGTCAGTGGAATCTCAGATTTGTATTTCTTGAGTGCGGAGGGCTGTATTACCAATTCTTCGTTTGATTTTTGTGACAGTGGGTCATTTGTGTCTTTGATTTTTCGTAGTTTTATTTTATTGTAACTGCAAATAAAGACAAAGTAAAGTTAATTGCGAAAGTTGGATATCAAACATGTCTAGTTCTAGAACATATCTGAGTGAGAGCGGAAAACGAAAAAGAAAAAAAGAGTATTTAAGTACATTAACAATGATGAGTTTATTGATGAAAAAATAAGTAAGCAGTGCTCTGGAAGAGAAGAATTGGACTTAACTAAACGTAGCAATATGGCAGATGCAGTACCTGATGCCACTATATATCCAGAGCAACCACAACAAGGTACTAGTAAAAATCAAAGTGAATTATGTTTTAGTGTGAATACTATTGCATTTTTACTATATATTACTGATAAGGGTAGTTTTAAAGAAATAAATGATCAAGTGAAACGGTTCGTGATAGAAAACGGACATTTTAAACGTAAGGGCTCTTCCTTAGAAGACAGTGATAATAGGACTTTCCTAGAAAAACATTTGAGTGTTTGCCGGTATAAACAATCCACCATTTACTGGCCAAAGGCTTAGGGCGGATGAGCTAGTAAGTGGCTGTTGTCCTGAGACTGAGAAATTGGTCTCGAAGGCGGAAGAACCAAGAAAGTGGTCAACGGCATCAGAATGCAGAAGGCAACGAGAAACCACTGCATTAAAGGTCACTGATGACATCTCTTATATAAATGGTCAGGAAATGGAGAGATATCAATAAATAACCACAATATTTATTACATTGGAGGAAACAAAACTGATCATCGATACGCAGCAGCTTTCATCATAAACAGCACTGTTATAAAATCAGTGCTAGGTGTCATTCAAATCTCAGAAAGAATAATAATGCTAAAAATTCAAGCACGGAACTATAATATTAATATGATCCAAGTCTATGCTACCACAGGCGATAAGACCGAAGATGAGATCGAAAAGTTTTATTCAGAATTACACAATACAATTAAGTTAACAAAATCTAGAGATATTCCTTACATTTTACTAGACTTTAATACAGAAAACCACATTGTCAGAAACCAGATAGACTTTATACTCGACTAATATCTAGATGAAGATCAAGAGTCCATGGTCAAGAAAGAAAAATCTTTTTGGCACCAAGTACTCTCTAGATCCCTTGATGGGACTATAACGCTTTCAACGTGTCCTATCACAGTATCTTCAGTGAGAACGAAAACGTGAGACCAGAAAAAGAAGATTTTATGGTTATTCTTAAAGTATCGTGCATCTATAGTGTGTTGGCCAGACATCTGTCTTTTGCGGTATGTAAAAGCTCGCCAGTGTTATTTATAGTTATTTTATACTACTTTTTTATTTAATGTTATGGTATACAGCCAACCACTGAGATTTTTTCGGTAGTGAGCTTAATACTGATGCTTTCTTCAGTGTTGCCACATTTACCACTGACTACACTAATACTTGTATACCTAATATAACAATTAACGCACTTTTATAATAAAATTGTCCCTTGAACTTAATTATAACGTCTTTTTGTTAAATAATTATTAAAAGACAATCAGAAAAAAATAATTGTCGCTTTATAATCCTTCCAAATGACACCATAGCCATTAGCAACGTTAACAAGATAGGATAGATTCCAGAATCTCGTCAAATTATTTCCCTTTGTTTTGCACAAAAATACAAGGCTGATTATCCAAAGTATCTCATATACGTTAAAAAACTATAAAAAAAACACTTATTTGTAAAAATATGGTTCGTTAAACAGTATCTAAGAATAGGCATGTGATAAGTTATTTACGGAAAGAAAAATTGTTCAGGATTCACGCTAGTCATTTTTGTAGTTAACAAATAGTTTACTTGATGGTCTTTTAATGATATAAAGTTAAAAAATGTATGCTTTTCTGGGGAGGTGTTCTGTAATAATAAATTGAATTAGATTAAATAATAGATGAAACATCAGGAAAAAATAATTCTAGTCCAACGGCTGTAAAACTCGCAACCGATGTATTATTATATTGACTTAAAAATGGTCTTCTTGTTGCATGTTGTAAGTGGCATAGTATTGTGTTAATGTGGGATTAAACTGCGGAAAAAGAAAAGAGTAACTCACTACCTTTTCTGAATGTGTTAATTATAAAGGAGGATATAGGATATATAACCAAAGTTTACAGAAAACCAACCCACACCAACATACGGATTGAACGAAATAAATTCGGAACATAGGAATATAATGTATTTCGGCTCAATTCTGCTGTAGCTGGTTGGCCAACAAAAGATTGTCAAATAATTATATTATAAAAAATCCCATACTTCAGCGGGCTGCTGGATTCTGAACTCATAAAAATTAAAAGCTACACATAAATCTACGATTTTATTATGCTGTCAAACCAGTTATAGTCCAGGAAATGTAGCATTTCACCTCGCAATTTTTTCGTGCGGCGTGGATTGACTTCAAATTTAACAGAAGGTAGGTAATAGCCTAAGAATCAAAATCTATATCGAACCAAAGTGCGCCAAAGCCTAGGGGGTGGTTGCCACCCCATCTCCGGGGTGAAAATTTTTTTTACGTTTGAACTACAGGTTTCGATTAGAAAAGTAATTCTAAACAAAAAATGTGCTATTCATTTTTTTTTATAAAATGATATTTTTCAAGTTATTCGCGATTGAAAGTAACAACTTTTAGACGAAAAAATCCACGTTTTTAATCGATTTTTCGCGAATAACTCGAAAATGGTGCATTTTATCAAAAAAATTGTAGAGAACAAATTTGTAGCTTTTAAAAAGACAAATACAATTACAAATACAATATCAATGTTCAGCGGTTTTCTTCAAATGCCAAATTTGAAAGATTTTAAGTCAAATATCGGGAAAATGATGTATTTTTGGAAGAAAACTCACAAAACCTTTTTTAAAGAGCATAAATAGACCTATCATAAAAAAATTAGGTCAATACCTCATTTTTTACGAAAAAATCGAGGAAAACAACACCTTAACCAATCCCATAATTAAAATCGATCTTCACCCTTCTGCAATTCCCTTTGTAGATGTATTGTTAATACGTCCAAAAAGTTTGACCCATTTAAAATGCTTAGTTTTAGAAAAAGTACAGCTTAAATCGAGAAACGATTTACAATTTCATATTTTTTACCCTTCTTTTTTTAAATATGCCCGAAAATACTGAATATATGAAAAAAATAAAAATTACCAAATTGTAGCTTTTTTAATGACTAAAATTATCCTTTATTTAGATTTGTTGTACAATGAATATTTGCCGAGATATAGCCGTTTAAAGCATCGATTTCCGATCAAGCACCTTCTTTTTCGAGCCCTTTAAACTCACCCCATTTAAAAACCAAGGGTTCCAAAAAGATTTAATTCACAGATCCTTGTAGCTATTAAAAACCTTTACAAATCGTTTTTGAAGAAACACTCTATCGTTAAAAATTAAAGGAAATACGTTAAAAAAATCAGTTATTTTTTTCCGGAAAATTCCATTAGTATAGTACAGTACATTTCGGAGCATAATAATCTACAAAACCGGTATATTAGCTAGTGGGGCGTTATACATTCGAAATTTTAAGCGTTCTTATTTTGAAATCCCATACAACAGAATAAAACATCTGCTCATATGTCTATGGCTTGGCAATGAAAATATCAGAGCAACAGATTGGTATTCCAAAGATGGTTTGTTATTACCCGTACACATGAACAAACAACCTGCACCCGATAAATTTTTGAAAATTATTTTTTGCCAATGCAAAAAAGGATGCGGCGTTTCATATGGGTGCAGAAAAGTTGGTTTATACTGTAACTCTACTTGTTCTGGGT